TTGGTCTCCATTGCATTAATTTCTACTCTGATCCTTATAATTTCTTCCCTTTTATGGGCCTTGGGCTTGACTTCCTCTTCTTTTTCTAAAAGTTTGAGATGCAATATTAGGTTACTTGTGCTCATTATGTTTTCCTGATGTGAGAATTCACCACTATAAATTTTTCTCTTAGGACATCTTTCATTGTACACCACAGATTTTCCTATCTTGTAGCTGCATTTTCATCTAATTGTAGATTTGTTTAATTTCTTTAATTGTGTTCGTGACCCATTGGTTAGTTCAGGAGATGTCATCTACTTTCCATGTGTTTATGGAATTTTCATGGTTTCTTTTGCCATTAATTTCCAATTTCATTGAACTATGTTTAGACAATATACATGAGATGATTTCAATTGTTTTGAATTATTTAAACATATCATATAGGGTAATATATACTTTGTGTCAGAGAACATCCAATGTGCAGCTGAGAAATATGTGTATTGTGATGTTTTTGGGTGAAACTCTCTGTAAACATTTACTAAGTCCATTTGTTCATAGGTTTGTTTCAGTCCTGATTTTTTTTTTTTTTTTTGCTAGTTTTTTGTGTGGTTGATCTATCTATTTGTGACACTGGGCTATTAAGGTACCCATTACAATTGTGTTATTGCTGATTTTATTTTTTATTTCTGTTAATATTTGCCTTCCATAGTTCAGTGCTCCTGTATTTGGCGCATACATAGTTATGATTGTCATCTCCTCTCCTCAAGTTTTCCTCTAACAAGTATGTGGTGATTTTCTTTACCTCTTTTGATAATTCTTAATTTGAAGTTCACATTGTCTACAAACAGAATAGCTACTCCTGCTTTTTTTCTGGGATCCTGGTGCATTGAGTGTTGTTTTCCATCCTTTTTCTTTTAATATATGAGTTTATTTTTGAGTTAAATATGTTTCTCTTATACAATATATTGTCTTCTTTCCTGATCCATTTTGCCAATCTATGCCTTTTGATTGGTGAATTGAGCCCATTTACATTGATGATTGCAACAGATACGTACTGGTTTCTCTTTGTCATATTGTTTTCATGCTGCTGATTCCTTGCTTTTCCCTTCTGTTTAATCACTTTCCCTGCTTGGCAGTTTATTTCTGTTGCTGTTTTGGGAATTGTGATCATTTTTATCTCTGTGTAGAATATCATTCAATACCTTTTGTAGTGATAGTTTGGTGGTCATGAATTTCTTCAGTTGTTCTTTATCATAGAAATATTTTACTCCGCCTTTAATTTTGAAAAATAGTTTTTCAGGGTACATCAATCTCAGTTGGAAGTTGTTTTAATTTAGTTTGAAATTCTTTACTCTGAGCACTTTTTGATTTGTTGATTTTATTTTGTTGAGAAGTCTGTCATGATTCTGATGGACTTTCTTTTACAGATGATCCATTTCTTTTTTTTCACAGTTTTTAATATTCTGTCCTTGTGCTGACTTCCTGGAATCTTGATTATTGTATGTCTGGGTACAGATTTATTTTTGTTATGGCTAAATGGAGTTTATATGCTTCACTCATCTGTATTTTAGATTTCCTCCCATTCTTAGGAAGTTTTCTGTTATTACTTCTGAAAATAGTCTTTTTATGACATTTGCATTGACTCCTGTGTTTTTATTGACACCAATCAATCTTTGATTATTTTCTTTGCATCATCTTGAAGCTGGTGAATCAGCTATTGTGCTACAGGATGTGAAGTTATTGTTTTCGTCTGAAGGGCATTTTTGAAGTTTGTTTTCTTTCATTGTGCTCATTAGTTAAGACTACTATAGCAAAATTACACAAACTAGGTGGCTTAAAGAAAAGAATTTATTATCTCATAGCTCTGAAGACAGAATCCTAAGATCAAGCGTCTGTTGAAAAAGAGGTTTGTTTTTAGGGCTGTGAGGGAGTGGTTGGTTCTGTGACATTGTCTGGGGTTTTACTGGCAATCTTTGGTATTTCTTGGCTTGTAAATATATAATTCTGATCTCTACCTTTATTTTCACATAAACACACTCCCTGAGATCTTGTCTCTGTGTCCAAATTTCCCCCTTTTTTTGAGAGCGCAGTCATAGTAGACTAATGACTTCCTCTTACCTTAATCATCCATGAAGACTACTGCTATGTTCATAAGTATCAGGCCTTAGGACTTCAAAGTCTTTTTAAGGGTATAAAATTCTATCCATAGTACTCTATTCTCATAGACTTCCTGGAAGCTAGGCAACTCTCTCCTTTCTTTTTCAATTTTTAAATTTTTATTAGTGCATGTTTGCAGTACAGAATGATTACATTCCTCATAGGAAGTTGGTAAATGTGCATAACATGTCTTAATTCTTTTTCATCTTCTTCTTTTCCTCTCTCTACTTCGTAGCTTGGTTCTTTTTCCTTTTGTAAAAGATCTATCTCTTTATTTCCTATTATCTATTTTTAACTTTATTCTTTATTTATATTTTGGGTTTCTCATAAAAAAGAAACAAGACAATAGTTGAGCTCAATGTCTGATTTATTTCACTTAATATTATGATTTCAAGTTGTCTTCTTTTGTGGGGTGTCAGCCTGTAGTTGACTTCCTTCTACTATTTCTATACAAAGACTGAGAATACAGAATTAGAAGACAGATGGAGCCCAATTATGACAAGCCTATTTTAATTATTTTTCTTGTTGCTGAGTCAAAATACCCAACATTCAAAGGTAGAAGAGGAAAGGTTTATTTAGCTCATGGTCTAGTGGTTTCAGACCGTAATAGGCTGGTTCCAAGGCAGGGTGACGTAGCAGGTAGGCATTGCAGAGAAGCAGTTCATGGTGGGTAGAAGGTGGCAAAGCAATGAAGGGTAATCACAGCTCTTCCAATTCTTTATACTTTATCCAGGCTGTTTAATCAGGTAGTATCCACACCCTTATTTGTACTTCCCTTAATCCTAGCATGGCACCATGAATAAATTTCAACGTCACACAATCTAGATCCAGCCACCTATAAAAAAGCCCTACCTATGACTCCATGAAGGTTTTAGGGGACATTTAAACACAAGACATAACAAAGTCCTTTGCAAATTATTATATCAGGCAAGTCATGTTATCCTCTATTTCTTCATCTATAATATGAGGATAGGCTTGCTGAAAAGACAGTGAGCTAAACAAAAGAAATATTCTGTTGGTATATAGTTAAATGTCAACTAAATATATTATCTGTTATTATTTTTTATTTAAGGAGAGGATGGGTCAGTGACTCCTAACCCTAAGTACTAGAGAATTATCTGAGGGAGCTTCTTAAAAATTTCTGGTACTCTGACCCCACTATAGATTCTATCTGAATTGGGATGAGCTGGGACTCAGGCACTGATATATTTAAAACTTGCTAATTCATTTTAATATGCAGAACCACAAAAATGAATAGCAACATTAATTGGAAATTTTCCATGAGGTTGAAAGTCAAAAGGAAATGATTTGTAGTTATGTAGCTAGATCATCTGTGTTGTAGCCAGTAATTTGCAGCAAAACCCAGATGCAGCTTTTAGACAATATGTAAATTAGTTTTCAGAGCCATCTTTTGCTTTGTAATGTTTCTTCTTAGGCCATTTGAGGAGGAAATATCCCATGGAGACACTGCCCTGGGACTTCCCTCTGGTTTTCAGCAAACTACAGCCACTTGCGTGCTCATTGTGACTTCGTAGAATGGGGAAGCTCTGCCCACAGGTTGAAGCTGCGTGATCTGAGTAAGCATGACTCCCCAGGCCCCTACTCTTGTGACCTGAGTTTTATTTCACAGACTATGTTTCCTACTCCTTCACCAGCACCATGTATGAATGGGGGCTCTAAAGGCAGCTGGCTCAATGGTAGGGGTGGTCAAACTAACTCTTGGTAGTTTTGCTCAGTTCCGGAGTAACTTTTGGTTCTCAAGCCCCTTGGCTGAGTGAAGAGGGCAGCTGTGAACAGCTTTCCCTTGTGGTCACTCTCCCCAGCTGTTCTGTCTCTTTGTGAGCAGCCCTGGCTTCTCCAAGTCTTGGCTTTCCTTCAGTCCTATGCCTGTCTACCTAATATCAGATACTTGTTCCTCATCGTTTTTAAGGTCCCAGAGTCCCTTCCACGATTTTGGAACATTCCTAACAATGTTTTGCTAAATGAATGAAATAGGTAATAGTGAAATGAAGTGACATATAAAGAGTTAAATTTTAATGACAATGTTCTATAAATTATCTTATTTTTTTTTTTTTACAAAGAGATTAAGAATGTCCATTTGTTCCTTGGGAGAATTAATAAAAGTGCACAAGCTAAAATAAAAGAAATAATTCTCTGGATCCTGACATATTTGTAATAGTATGTTTTGTCTGATACTTTCTGTCACTTTGATTTTTGATCATGTCAAAACGAAGAGCAGCAGTGAGATTTCAACAAAAAGCAAGGGGTTATATCTCCATCTGGCAAGATCTGATTAAATTTGAATTAACTTTGACTTTTGTAAACTCAAAGGAAAAGGAAATCAAGCCTAGAATGGGGAAATCCCTTAGTTAAACTCAGAAACTCTGCACCTGAATTTATCCCAGTGTTTATTGCCAATAATTTGCCTTCTGGTACTAGTATATAGAAGTTGTTTTCGGTGGGTAAAAGCGGGAAGTGCTGTCTGTGTATCTAGAGAGCAAAAGCTCTCTAGACTCACCCAAATGGGTTCCTGATGTATTTCAGATGGAACTGATGTAGTTAAGCATGAATTTCCTGGCAAGCACAGGAGTAGGTTTTTCCAAAAGGCATTTTAGACCACGAATGCACAGCCTTTCCATGTCTAATCACGAAAGCAAACCACTGGACATACACTCTCTGTTTCCAGCTGGTTGTGTATGTTTTCTTCACACTCCAACAAAAACATGCCAAGGTGTGACCTTTATGAACCCTCCCAACTTGGAGCTGTGCACACAAATCCATCTTGCCTGTTAGTGTGGGAAGGTGATGAATGGGGGCTGTTCTGCCTGGGGAGGAGGGCTGCTGTCACTCTGGCGTGTCTGCAGCCTTATTTATTACACACCAAAGTATAAAACCACCCAGCCCAGCTGCAGTTCTCATCTTCAGCCCTGGCATTTGCCTGAGGAGATCACGGTTCCTGAAGCCCCCATTATCTTCCCAAGGAGGCTCTGTGGCTCTATTGAAGATCATGCTTGGGAGTCAGCTCATCTGTTGGCACCTGTTGGCTTTGTTTTTTCTCCCATTTTGCCTGTGTCAAGATGATTACATGGAGGTGAGCGGAAGAGCTAATAAAGTGGTGGCAAGAATAGTGCAGAGCCACCAGCAGACTGGCCGTAGCGGCTCCAGGAGGGAGAAAGTGAGAGAGCGGAGCAATTCTAAAACTGGGACTGTGGATAATAACACTTCTACAGACCTAAAAACTCTGAGACCAGATGAGCTACCGCACCCAGAGGTGGATGATCTAGCCCAGATCACCCCGTTCTGGGGCCAGGTACTCTGAATTACTCTTCTAAGGATTTTTATGAAAGCTGAATGACTGTTGTTGTTGTTGTTGTTGTCCTTGCTGTTTGGGTTAAGATTCTTAAAATCAGTACTTGATAGCAGTTTGCTCAGCTGCTTGTGGGTTGTTCTGGGTTAGAAAGGTGACTGACAGTTTCTGACAATGATGTGTTGGGGTACAGTGGTCAGACATTGCCCCATTAATGAGGGTAACCTGGGCAGCCAATTTTCTGTTCTGTTGGGTCTTGATTGCTGTCTTGCTTTGGTGGAGCAGAAAAGATTGCTGACCCATGCAGATAAATGTATCACTATAGACCATCATTTGCTAATCCTAAAATAGACTGTCTTCATCCTTCTCAGCAGGGAGAAGCTGTCCTTGAAATTTGCCAAAATCAGTCAAAGGCTTTCACTTTGATTTGTGAGTTTACTCTGACTCACGCCAGTCTTGTTTATTTGATTTCTAGTAGTCTAGGTTGCTATGCCTCTATGTTCACCCTTTTAAAAAAGAATCAAAGAGGTTAACCCAAAGATGACCACATATTTAAAATGCAAACTGCATATATTGCTTGATGCCTGATGGTCATAGGGGGTTTATTTCTCTAGGCATAAACTCAGCATCTTAGGAAATTTCTTTAACTCTTTGAGGCTAGTATGGGAGTTCAAATTGGTAAAGTTCAATTTAATTTAAAACACTAAAATCAGGAATAACAGATTTTGATTTACATCCTAAGGATATAGTATGCTGAAATCAGATGGGTGGAATAGAGTTACTTTTAATTATGTAATCTTTATACCAATAATTTTCACTACAAAAACTAATGGCTTTTGTGTATTAAATAGGCCCAGAAATTGTTCATATGATTCAAGTCTAAAGCCCGCTTACTACAGATTGAGATATTTGGGATTATTAATCTGGTTATATATTCAGACCAGAATCATACATAGAGTGAGATGTAAATATGGGACTAATCTAGGACTAAACTTGACCAGATAATGCATTTTCTCAGATCTTTCTGTGGAGTCATGTTGAGGGGAAGTTGAAGAACCACAGAGGAAATGATAACATTTAAATAGAATGCCTCATGCAGAGATCATCATTTTATCTAACAGTTTTTTGCCTGAGGAACGATTAATGCTAATTTGCATTTTCTTTAGTGACCAAAGCATTTTAACTTTTGACCAAGTCTTGGCCTAGATTTTTCATTGCTGTGGAAGGAGTCTTTCTTCCTGTACATGACAGTGTGAGCTCCCAAAGGCAGCAGAAGGCAGTCACAGGTGATATCAGTTGTTATTTTCTGGGCACCAACACCCCATTAGAAATCCAAATTATATTTATACCACCCCCCAACACACCCCCCAACACACCCCCAACACACCCCCCAACACACCCCCCAACACACCCCCCAACACACCCCTAACACACCCCCAACACACCCCACACACACAAACCTTCTAGACCTGGGTTCTTGAAATAAAACTGCTAAGGAAATGTAGAGTCTGATATTCTGAAAGTGTTTTACACAGCTCCTTCAGCAATGGATATGGGCAAATCGAATTTAGGATTATAATACGTTCTTTCTTCTTTCCCTACTTCTCCTCCCACTTCTTCCATCTTAATTCTCCTTTTTCTTCATCCATCTTTATCCCAACAATTACTCGAGCTTCTACATTGAACCAAGCTTTAGGATGGGCACCAGGAACATAAACACACTCATGGTTTTCAAACATTTTTAATTTTATTTAAAGAAAGAAAAGAAAATTTAAAAAAAGACAAAATAGAAAAAATGAGAAAAAAGTAAAATACAAAATTCAAAAAACATTAACATCATAAAATTGCTAGTTGATACATTACATATTGTCATCTTAACAATAGTTGTTAAAGTTACAAAATCAAAGCATAAAACGTGGCTAGACACTCAAACATTGACAGTGCAAACTCTTCTGTTCAATGATTTAACAAAACTTAGTAATATAGTCATTTGTCTTGCACACTATACATACCATCATATCCTTTAGAGCACTTTCCTTCCCTTTCACTGACACACTCACGCTTTTATCTCCAAGCCATCCTAAAGGACTGTAGTGGAAATACTTTGTTAATTTAATTGATTAAGTTTGATTACATACTATATACGCCTGGTCAATGCATACACAAAAGGCAGTTGAGAAATAAAGTCATGTTGGTTCCTTTGTTGGATCTTAAAAGATAAGACAAAAAGAAAGGCTATTAAAGATTTGGCCCTAGCAAACAGGTTTAAGTGGAAAGACATTAGAGGATCAGAATGCCGGGCTGGGAAGGATTCTTTTACTTGGTGAAGGACTTTAATGCTTCGTTATCAAAAAATTTGTTTGTTTTTTCCTAACAGGTTGGTGAGGTAATCAGACTGTTAGAACAATAAAGCGGGTAAAGAATTCATGGTAGACTAGTATAGACAGAGTTTGGGGTGGGCACACCTATATTCTCTTTTCTTGCCATTTTATTCTCCATAGCCTCTGTCATTCTTATGTTTCAGTTTCCTGTCTCCTTCCTGGACATTTCATTTATCCTCTTCCAATTTCCTTTGTTTCCTCTTCTTTGGGTTGAAGAAGGAACTATGACTTTATTTCTGTAATAGCAGCACTCACTTCTGAAGAACTCCTTCAGGCTCCCATCTGCAAAACGGATGGAGTTTGACTTAGAGACAACCCTTTCCTCTCATGCTACTCATCTACATGTCTTCAGTGTGCAAATTCTACTAGGTTTTGGGACAGGGGTGATAAGGTTAAGAGGATAATAGTAGCAATGTTGTATATGGACTTGTCCCTTATCAAAGAGAAAGTTTCTGAATGCACAAATCCTGTACAACTTGTTCTAAGTCCATTAACAGCCTCATCAGCATTGTTCCGTTTGACTGAACTTTGAAAGACAAGGCCACAGGAAGGAGCATGTGATAAAGGTCATAGTAGGATTCCCAGGAGCTGCCCAATTATCAGTAATTAGAAGTCTCTCACTGCATTGGTGGAAGCTTTATGCTCCTGATCATCCCAAAGTTGATTTGCTTATGCACCACTAGTCCTAGTGAGCTCTGGTATAAGCAACACCATCTCCTAGAGTCTAGACACTGAACATTAAAAAAAAAAAAAGCTTTCTAAATTATTGTTTGAGATTTTGGAAAACTTTGAAGTGTCTTTGCTTGTATCTTGCAACTAGGAAGAAAACCCATAACTGTCTTGCCCACTTCTCTAGTGAAGTAGATAAGAAAACTGATGTCTGGTAAGAGTGATTTCTCTAAGGTCCAGTAGAATTGGTGTGGGAATTTTGGTTGCAGTCCAGTATTTGTTCTGACATTGTTAAACATCTTAGTATGTTTATTATATTCTCACACAAACAGTTCCACTTCAGGATTCTTCTTCCTTTTCTGTCTTTGATTCCAAGTCTATCATTGGCAGAGCTCTGGAGTGTAATGCTGCATTTCACATTTGCAAAACCTTACCACAAAATTCAGAACACATGCTTCTCAGATTGCATCTTGGTTTGGAAGGTGGGGTGATGCCATGGTGTCTTTATTTTCCAAGTGTTCCCAAATCTCTATCTTAGACCAGTTGTTGTAGTTGATTTTTCCTCCCTGGATCAGTTTGACAAAAGGTTTTCGAGTCCCTATACTGTCCTGGATTTGGCCTAGTAGAATTAAGACAAAGTGAGGCGTTAGGTCTGACTGTAGCTTCTGATCCTGCGCCTCTTGGGTTCTGAGCTGTGCCAGGAGACTGCTTGGGCCCCGGGCTACACTGTGCTTTTCTCTAAATAGCTTTGTGGAAAACTTGAGTGAAAAGGGAGCACAAAGACTAAGTCTTCTTTTTTTCTCAACAAACAAATGAACATAAAGCCTAAATGTGCAGCAATATGGAGTTTTCACCTATGTTGTGACTTGGATTTCTAGTAATGAAAAAAAATGAGACTTTTATATTTTTCCCTGCCTCCCTCTTTCCCATCCTCTTTCCTGTCTCTTTTTCCCTCCCTCCTTCCCTTCCTTTTTAAAATTAATTCCTTAGCAACAATTTGCTGTTTTCAAAAGACCACTGAATTATAATTGGTGTCTAGGAAAGTTTCCACGAGTATTTTGCATGACATAATTAAAAGACAAGTTGCCAAGTTAGATGAGAGTACATATTCTATAAGCAGCTCTCTCTTTTCCATGGACTTTCACTAGATCACTTGCTCCTTCATAGTAAGCACACACTTTAGAAGTGTAATCTTTGTATAAGTAAGCATTTTACTTTGTATCATATTTGAGCATAATGAGTTTGAATTTAGTACACATTAAAGATTGATTCAAACAGCAATACAATCACTTTAAATTTTGAAGTAGAATATGTGAAGCACATAATATTAAATATTTATAAAGAAGCTAAAGTTGTTTCAAGATATAAATAATTAAAAATGTACTGGGCACATAGTTAATAATAATGCTTATATTCTTTAAAATTGTTAAGAGACTAGATTTTCAGTATAGAGACCACAAAAATGTGTAAGAGGTAATGAGTATGTTAATTTGCTCAATTTAGTCATAGTATACACAAGAACATATACAAATTCCAAAACAATGTGTTGCATCTGGTAACTACATGTAATTTCCTATTTGTCAATTTAAATACATAAGTGACTGTATCGGTCTAAAGAATAATTAATTTCCTTAATTTCCTAAGGCAGTATAAGTGCACCATGATTATTTGAAAAGGCAGTGTTACAATTTAAAGTTTCTAAGAACTCTTAACCCAGTGTTTAGAAACCTGTCTAGTAGCTTGTTTGAAGGAGCTGATGTTTGTAATTTGAGGAACTACTCAATTTTGCTACACCAGAAGCTACCAGTTATTAGCAAAGTAGGGGCTGGGGATTTAGCTCAGCGGCATAAGCACCTGCCTTGCAAGCAGGCAGTCATGAGTTCGATCCCCAGTACCAATAAAAAGGAAAAAGACAAAAAAAAAAAAAAAAAAAAAAAAAAAAAAAAAAAAGAAAAAGAAAAAAGGAAAATCTTCAAGTCCAGTGCTGAAGGAGTTTCTGGCTTTGCTTCTATGCACAACAGGAAAGTACTTCTTACAAATACTGCCACCTCTTTTCAGTCCCATTGCTACTTAGTGCAAAGTGCATATTCTTCAGTTGACCTCCTATTGTCTTCTCTTGTATTGTCCCCTCATTGTAGCTGCCCCTTGAGTCCTAAGCCTTCAACATTTGCAGCCCACTCCCATACTGTCTTTTCTGATGTAGCTGTTGATTGATTGAAGTTAAACTTAAAGCTCCAGGCCAAAAGAAAATTTAAAATTCCTGAGTGTTCCCAAGTGCCTGTCTTTCAAACTTCTCTATCTTTTTTAAGCCTCCGCAAACTGGAGGAGGACTGCCCCCAGACTGCAGCAAATGTTGCCATGGAGACTATGGCTTCCGTGGCTATCAAGGACCCCCTGGACCCCCAGGACCTCCAGGCATTCCAGGTAAGGTTAACAGAAATGCAAAGATGTATGACAAGTCTAATTACAGACGCCGCTGGTGGGAATGTAAACTAGCACAACCTCTGTGGAAAGCAGTGTGGAGTCTTCAGAAAACTAAAACTCCATTTGACCCAGCTATCCTTCTAAGACTCTTCTGACAGATTTTAAAAAGTTCATACTACAGTGATACACGTGTACCTCTGTTTATAGCAGCAAACTTCATAACAGCAAAATCTTGGAAAGTTTTTGATGCACATCAACAGATAAATGGGTTAAAAATGTGGTATTTATACACAGTGGAGTACTTCTATGCCATAAAGAAGGATAAATGAGTCATTTGCAGGGAAACAGATGCTCCTTGAGATGATGTTATATGAAAAAATCAGACACACAAGCTTAAATATTGTATAGTTTGTCGGATACGAGAAACTCAAAATATAAACAAAATCAATGATAGATAATAGACAGGGAGATATACCTTTTCAATGGGAAAGGATCAAGAGATAGATGAAGGAGGGAAATAGAGGGGAAAGAATTGAGATGAGTTATGGGCATGTTAAGATTATGTCCCACAAAGAACATAATCATTGTGTACTGAAAACATGTACTAATAAAAATAAAAGCCAGAGAAACATGCAATAAAACAAAAACCCCAAAACAGAAGCCAAGGGCAATCCTAATTTTGGATCATTTATGTGTGATCTAAAGGGCATGCATAGAAATCCCCCCCAAAAGAGAGTTGGGTGGAGAGTTGGATTTATTAGACCAGTTCAGGTAAAACACTACAAACTCCATAGTGCTTGCTCTCTACTTGAAGCATCCACAAGGTTCCAAGCACCATGGAGTACCTGACTCATTGATTGGGAGGATCTTTGTTATTATTGAGAATGGAACTACTGGCTCTTACCTGGGACTTACCCTTAGCACCCACTGCAGTAGTCAGCTTTCTGTTACCATAGCAAGTACCTGAGATAATCAACTTACAAAAAGAAAGGCTTCTTTTGGCTTATAGTTTTGGAGATTTCAGCCCATAATTGAATGGTCTCATTCCATTTGAGTCTGTCATGGGGCAATACATCATGCTGGGGGAGCTAAGCAGCTCACCTTACGGTGGCCTGAAAATGAAAGACCAGAAGATACCAGGATCCCCCTTCAGGGGCTTGCACCCCATGGCCCCTGACCTCACACTAGACCCTGACTCTTAAAGTTTCTACCACTTTCCAGTAGCACCATACTTGGCCTTGGTTGGACACTTATCTACACCATAGTAACCACAGAACCACAGTGTGCCTCATGAGTACATAGTATCTTTCAGGAGATTTATGAAATAGATGCAGGCAGAGAGGAAATCTTACTGGTGTGGTTTATAGTCATCTTCATAGTGTCATTTACTGAAATGTAGGTCCTTTGTCATTCTAAGTCCAGATATGCCCTCTACCTTCACTCTCAGTGATTTCATAGCAGATTTTTATGCCTGATTTGGATTCATGGAAACATATCTGAGCTACAACACCACAGAAATGTACAGAACATGTGCGGGGCTACACTGAGTCTCTCTAGACTCATGGTGTGCCATCTGCACCACATTTCCCTGGTTGCAGGCTTAGAAACCAGGGAAATGGCCAGAAGAAAAGGTGTACCGTCTTCTCTATCCTGTGACTTTCAAAACTATCAGGGATACACTTGACTTTCTCCTTAGGGCATTCCCAAGAGCTAGAACTGCTCTCAATGTTGGTTAAAGTTTACTTGTTCTTCACAGATTTATCCCCACTGAAGTTAATATTTGCCAAAAATGGCTCAAATTTTTATACTTTTGGATTGCTTCTCATGTGAATCCAAAATCCCAATGAAAAATTCCTTTGTTAGATTTAAAATCATTATTACTGGCATGGGATGTATGTCATTGAGGGCAGCCACCTACAGGGGCAGTGACGTGGGCTATGAAATATTCAAATTCTTCTGGCTACCTCAGACCTAACCTTCTTTGAGGTTATAGAACAAGAAGCCTTAGTTAAATATTTCCCATCATGAATTGACTTTGTCACTCACCCATTAACCTATAAACAAAGTTCATCTATCTGGAAGGACTGCAAGCCTGATACAATGCCTGATAAGTACTACACAAAATAAAAAAGAAAAAGGATGGAATTCGGAAAATATAAAAATAAGGAAGAGATACAGAAATAGTCACTTTGTAGAAAAGTGAGGTATTGAATCTGTTATCAATTCAACTTTCAAAATTCTATGTCTTTCTAATCAATGAGTTTACTCCAGTTACAAAAATGATACACATTCCTGGTAGAAAACTTCAGAGGGGCAGAAAAATATGTAGAATGAAACAAAAATCACTTGTCTCACACATTTAGGGAAAAAACCTAAATATTTTCATGTAATTTTTTCTAGTCTTTTTTCCTGTAGACATTATATATGCATACTGTTTTAAACAAATATAGTATTATGCCATCCCTATTTATTTATAACATTTTTAATGTTAAAATATCACGGCTATCACTATATCATTATATGTATTTCTTCAGTATTGTTTTCACTTACTATGATATGGCATTTAATAATTTAACCCTTTTAGGATTGATGGATATTTGTAGTCTTTGCTACTCTAAATGATATGCAATGATCAGCCTTTCATACAGTTTTTCATCCAGGCCTGCTTTATAAAATAGGCTTTGGGGGCTTAGAAAATCTAAACTACTACTGAATCTAATTAAACAAACAAAAAAAAAAAAACAATAATAAAAACCTGCCAGTTTGATAATGCTCCTTGGCTGTATTGTGATGATTTGAAATCGTCCCCACTTACAATTTAAGTGGCTTATTTTTAAAGGAAGTGGGCTGTGTTGGTCTAAAAATGATGGTAAGTTTGACTGGTTTTCTCATGTGATCACATCTGGTTATTTAAGGAAACCATGGAAATAATGGAAATAACGGAGCCACTGGGCATGAAGGGGCCAAAGGTGAGAAAGGAGACAAAGGTGACCTGGGCCCTCGAGGGGAACGGGGGCAGCATGGCCCCAAAGGAGAGAAGGGCTCCCCGGGGATTCCACCAGAACTGCAGGTAAATTGTCCTGTGCACATCCATAGGTGACCTTTAAATCTGCCAGACTACTAGGAGTTAGGAATCAGAAGGTTAAATTCTTCAAGCCTCATCAATCTTTGGTAAATCTGAGTCTTAATTTGTTTACCTTAACAACAGGATGTTTGCATAAGGCCTATGCTGTAGCAATAGGGAGTGTTAAAAAACTTTTTAAAGAAGAGAGAAATTTATAGACTGAAACTCAACTCCACATTAGGTCCAAATATCATACAAGGTGACCATAAATATAAACCTATCTCCTGTTTTTCTGATGAGATAATAGGTTAAGCTGGAAAGATATGAAAAAATATATATGTACATATGTATATATAAGCAATGGCTAAATGTCTTATTTTATTTATTTTCTTATGTTTTTAAAATAACATACACAGATGATATATATTGTTTCCTATCAACTCAGATTTTGTAGCTTAATTTTTGTTTATATTTTTTGCACGACTATCTCCTTTATCCTGGGAACATTTTATTTTTGAGTCATTCAGTTTTCCAGTCCAGATCATGTTGGTTTTAGCATGTTTTAAAATTCATTTATGAAGTTAAAATTGTGTGTTTTATCCCAAACTCAAGTACCATGGATCTATTTTTTTTTTTTAGCTTCTTTTTTAAGTATTCATTAAAATTCTTGCCCATGACACATAAAACTTACAAATTTGAAGTTAGGTCACCAAGAAAAATTCTTAAATCTTGGTTACATTTTTTCTTTTGGTTAATATTTTAAAATGGATTCTTTTATGAAATCCATTTTATCTATCAACATTGTAAACTCACATCTTGTGGTCGTTGTTGCTGTTGCCAATTTGCAGTTATAAGTAATAGAGCTGAGACCCAATCTCATATTTTTGGAGCCAAGTTAGTAGTTCTGTTCCCAAAGTCATGACACTTCTTGGTTAGAGATACCACCAGCTCCTTAAATTAATTCTCTTCAATTTTTTTTTTGTTTTTACTAATTGAGCTAATGAATTCTAAGTTTCATAAAACATTACCCATAAAGTATTTGTAACCAGTCCTAGGAATGACTGCTGGCATTAAATGTCTTCTGCTCCAGTATGACATTGTTATACAAAATGATGCCCATATAGTTTTGCTTTTCCAATATTTAAATAAATTTCAAGTTTTATGGAACCATATTTTTCATATTCTGGGAAATGGCAAAATTCTTTTCCCCTTACATTGTAAAATACTTTTATATTGTTTTTTAAAAAAACTATTATATAGTTTAAAAAATTAGAAAAAAATCTCTACAAAAAAGTTCAGAAATGACTATTATTAGGGCATAGTTATATAACTTTTCAGATTTATGTAAATCACTTTTAAATATAAGAACATACAATAAGCATCACTTTTTAATTACTTTATTTCTCAAATGATATTTCTTATACATCTCTTCATGTAAATAAGTACTACTGTAGAGTTATAAAATGTATAGTTTTCTAAAACAAAATAATAAAATTTATATTTTTCTGAATACAAAATTAATACATGCTCATGTGAAAATTATAGTTGTAATGAAGAAAGAAAAAATTACATATGAAAATTCTACAGAGCTCCACTGATAATAATTTTGTGGATATTTTTGCAGATATTTTTATCAGTTTATCCACACAATAATTTGACATACACAGACTCATAGAACAAAGTCATAGTGATCTTGTATTACTTTTTAGGTAACAAATGTATAAAAGATATTTTACCATTGTATATATGTGTGTATATTTGTATATATACATTTAGATCAAATAATTTACATGTGCATTAGAAGAATTTGTTCTGTAAGAAACTAAAATTTCTTAAAGAATTAAAAAAATAAATGCAGCATTAGTAAAATTAAAAAGTTGTTTCATTGCAGGGGTTCACAGATGCTTTAATATGCTAACATGTGTTTAATAGCTATAACCTGAGCATTTCATTCAAGTTTCCCCAGTATTATTTGACAATAGAATTTTAATATTTCTGAAAACATTTTAGAACACTAATGCTTTTTGAAACATTTTCTGAACTACTGATATATACTGATAATCTGATGGCTGCGTCACATAAAAATCTTAGAATATATTAGAAATTACTATAATTTATTTCCTTCTTTGCCTATATTTATTTCAAATCTTGCCATTACAAATAAGCCACAATAAATTTACTTGTATAAAACTTTATTCCCTTCAGATAAATTCCCTACTAATTGAGCATCAATTTCTTCCTTAGATTGCATTTATGGCTTCTCTGGCAACTCACTTCACCAATCAGAACAGTGGGATTATCTTCAGCAGTGTTGAGACCAACATAGGAAACTTCTTTGATGTCATGACTGGCAGATTTGGGGCCCCCGTATCAGGTGAGATGTAAAAATTAATGAATGAGTGAATCAACCTCGCAGTCAAAGAGAAGGAGAAAAGAAAGGAAGGAGAGAAGAAAGGAAAGAAGGAAAAAAAGAGAAAACAAAGAGGCGGCAGGCAAGGAGAGAAAAAGGGAGAAAAGATACAAAGGAGAAAAGAAGGAAGAAAAACGGAAGGAAGAAGAGGAAAGAATGGAAAGGAGACAAAATGAAAAAGGGAGGAAACATCATCTATGACACATTGTATAAGCACCTAGAGGGCCCAGTGAGTGCTTGTGTTGAATTTCTTCACAGTTTCATCCTAAGGATTCAGTATCTTAGAACTGCCTTGACTGGTCATCAGTCTGACCACAACAGAGATCATTTGGCTTCACAGTTTATTATATAAACTGTATTCACAGATTGTAGAATGACTACTTCATCTTTCTCCACATCGACAAAGATGAAATAGAGAAGACTAAGTTTTGCAGTAATCAGCACAAAGACCTGAAAACCATAATGCAAACATGTGGGCTCTCATTTCATTAGTTTCTTTTGCAAGGAAAGCCACGTGTAGTACAGAATACTATTCAGCTCTGTATTTCCACTTCTAGAGGTTTGATTTATTCATCATGTGGTTTCTTAGCTTCATCTTAAAATGTTTGTGACATCTATTTTTTTCTAACTCTCATTTTTTTTTTTTAGGAAAACATATTTCCCTGTCATTCTGATTCTAACTTTATCTTGTTGATGCATGGAAAATTGTCTCGTGTGTACCTGTGTGTGCATGTAATATGAAATCTTATAAAATGTGAAAACCTCAACACAAAAATAAATTACATTCTTTACATCCTTTTGTTTGTGACTTTGCTTTTCCTCTGCAGGCCAATCTCTAATGTAAATGGGCATAACAAACTTCCATTTCTCAGCACATTTAACATGCATTTCTGGCATTTAAAAAAGCATACTTTTGTTTGGCTCTGTTTGAGTAAGAATCAGATGGACCAACATGATTTCTCTTTCACAATCACATCTTTGTAAAAAGAGAGTGCCAGTGCTTTTTTCCTTTTCCTTTTGTATGTTTCTGGGTTTTTCTCTTGCAAGGCCATTAGTTTTAAACTGTAACATTGAAATCAAAAGAGCTTGATGATTTATATTCATTCAACTTTCCAAAATGTACTCAGAAATCCAAAATCATTTGTAACTGAGAAAATTTTCCTTTTAGCTTGTCTGTCTGCTATTAGATTGGTATTCAATAAAAGTATTTCTGTCTTGGCATGCAGAGGCTATTAAGTCATGTTAAATTGTTTTCCATTAAGAGTCTTAAGCTCTTTTTAAGAAAACACACATCTTTTTAAAATGTTAGTCTTTTTAAAATAAGTAATGCACATACATTTAGTAACAAGATTGCGTCACTGTGTTGAAGTTGGATCTTTCTCTTTATTGTAAGTTCACAGATTTATAATGAACATTAGAAATTACTAGAACTTTATTTTTTCATGTTTTTGAAACACGGTCTTCCTGTCCTCCTGGCTCAGCCTCCCAAATGCTGGGAGTATAAGCATACATCATCATGCCTGGTGGAACTATTTCTTTTGAATTATGCAATGTTTATTGTGCAAGCCAGTATTTGTTTATCTCTGGATGACTCTTGGCAAGTATAGTAATACACTGTAAATTCGTACTTGGCTAAAGCCACAGAACACCATGTGCTTATCCACAGGACTTTGAACTTTGAACCCAAGGTACAGGTTAAGAATAGATAACTGATATTTACAGATGGGTTGGAATTTGTTCACAGTCTTCAGGACAGGAGTGTCAGGAGTCAAGTAATAGAAATACAATTAACACAAGGTAGATTCCTTCCCTTAAAAGACTTTGTAATCTTTTTAGAGATATATATGAGAAGGGTTCAAAAATTTAAAGAATCTTAAAGGTGAGTAAAGGGACACTTGTGCACATAAAGACTAAGAAGAAACTACATAATATACAGAATATCAGCAAAGCAAGTCTGTGTTACCTTCAGATCATCTGTGTACAGTATGTTAATATAAACATGGACTAATTCCTTTCTCAGGTGTGTATTTCTTCACCTTCAGCATGATGAAGCATGAAGATGTTGATGAAGTGTATGTGTACCTTATGCACAATGGAAATACAGTCTTCAGCATGTACAGGTGGGTGGTCTTTTCTATCATGGGTCTCATTTACATATTTATTGCCACAATTTGAGGAAAGAAAATTCAATGGCAGGGAAATAGGTAGGAATCAACAGAGTATAATGTGGCTCTTGTGCTCAATTAGAGCCCTCATATACCAATATATGTGCGATTATGAGGAGTGTGTGGGTCGAGATAAATTGGATGAAACTGCACACTAGCATGTTGAGATTGTTACTAGTATCACTTCCCAAACCAATCACTTGGATTCTTTTTTAACTCGGTTTTTCTTCCTCCCTTTCTCATTATTTTTCTTTCATTCTTTTCTCCTTTGCCTGAGGCTTCGCACTGGTGATAGCCCTATCATCACCTGCTTGTGCAGGTGAACAAGTTTCAGAGTAGTCCCTTTCTTTCCCTGGTCCTGGTCCCTGGCCTGTGCTGCTTATGTTAGCAACCTGGCCCTTGCTTTCCTTAGGGACAGTTATTCATAAAACGATATTGTACTTTGTTCTCATGTTAGTGTAGGATGTAGCAGATACACATAATTAAATGAGCTATTGTTACTGGATAGTCTCCTTCTACAAATAGTTCACCAAAGAAACATTAGCAGGTTTTGGAGTGCTGATGGCTTGGTTTCCAGATTATTTTTTACCTCAAAGAATTGAATGAGACAAGCAAAAATGGTACAAAATTTATTTGAAAAATCAAAGATGAGGGCAAGGAAAAAACTGGCTCTGCAGAGCAAACTTGGGCAGAGTAACAGCAAAAATGAAAGTAAAACCCTCAATGAAGGTACCCTCCCTGGAGAACAAAGAGAAGACTATTGCACGGAAATGCATGCTGGTGGGCTCTTCATGGTCTGCAGTCCTTTTATTTCTTTCACACATTATAGAAACCCACAAGAACTCATACAGGGCCATGGGAATTATTTAGTGCATGTGTCATGGAACTGGGTCACACTCCCCAACCAGATTTGCCTCACTCTGCCTTCCTGGCTCACTGTAAGTTGTCTATGAAGAACTTCGTGGCTATTTGTTACATTTTCCCTGCTATTTCTGATGACTTGTGATCATTACATTAAATCTAGTGGGTTTGGGGTCTAGGGATTCCCAGACTCAACCTTGCCAGGCTTGTCTCTCTCCAAAATAGTAAGAGAAGTCAGAGAAGACTGGGATAAACCAACAACTTTATTGCAGGTATTTCAAGAAGCTATACAAAGTCACTCTAGGGAGGAAACAGGCTGCTCAGAGCTGAGTTGTCACCAGATCTGGAGCAGTGATCTTATTTTATGGGTCTCCACTGTTTCCCTAAAGAACTGATACTAGATTGATTAGTTATTGGGCTTGTTGTTAGGGGCTTGGTCTTGTGGGCTAACGGGAGATCTGAGTAGCCACTGTAGTAGAGGAGAGTGTTGTCTGCACAGAAGCAGGTCTCAGAACCACAGAATTCTTCTTGGGCTGTTTGCTGAGATGCAGAGGCTATTTCCTTTCTACTTCTTAAAGGGATCCAGCTCTCTAACCTAACCCTACATTAGATCCCTGACTATTCCTATAATTGTTTTCTTCTGGAGTCTGGCCTACAAGAGAAGATGTATCTGAGATGCCCAAAGCAAAAAAAGATGAGTTATTCTAGATGAAACTGCTGCAAGAGATCAGAATATAGGGGTCAAACATGCTAGAATTGTATTTTTCTTGTCCACTGCAGGGCAAGGGCCCAGGCTGGGAAGGAGGAGGGTGGCAGGAAGGTTAGAGAAGGACATTGTGCAGAGGTCAGGAGGAGGGTTTTTCTCCTGAATTTTGAGAGACTCAGCTGGTGAAAGCAACTCTGCCATCAATAAAACTGACTTATAATTTATTGGTTATCGTTACTCCTGGAGCCAGAATTAATGTTCAACACACTTAGGAGAGTGGATGCAAGTGAACAGCTAGACTTCTCTGACCATCTGTCTTCCAAGTATCTGTAGAGTTCTTCTCCCTACATTTAGAAAACACATCACCTCATCTGCACTCCCGTGGGAGATGCCTAACATCCATTCATACATCAAACGCAAAGCTTAGGTTTGGGCAATGAACAGTCTTTTTCTTTAAGTCAATCCCTCTGTTGTTTATCTTTGTCCTCTGTTCTGTTCTCTGGGAGGGTCTCCGTTTGTTTGTTTTTATCCATATCTAATATCTAATAGGTGAGTAGTTTTTCTCATGATCCTTTCTATAGCTCACTTTCTCCTTTTGCAAATTTGACATCTAAGTCAAAATCTTAAGTCATTTTTAGTCCAACTTGGGTCTTTGGAAATAATGTACCATTTCTCCAGAAACCTAGAAGCTTTTGCTCTGACTGCTACCAGTGACATTTGTAAGTCAGTCACACCCAGACCCCAACCATGCCACGTACACTGGGGATTGCACCAAGGGCCTTTTTACTGAGATTCACTCCCAACCTCTACCTCCCACCCTTTTACTTTGAGACAGGGTTGTTCGAAGTCACTAAATTGCTCAGGCTGGGCTTGAACTTGGAATCCTCCATCTCAGCCTCCCAGAATGCTGGGATAACAGGCATATGCTACTTGTCTTTTTGCCTTACTCTCAGTGTAGAAGTAGTTACCCTAAGGTCTTTTAAAACAACAGATTTGAGTTGAAAGGCAGCTTTTTCAACCTTGGTAGTCCCAAATTATTCTGGATTCTTTTTACTTTTGTTGCAATCCTGTCAGTTCTACTCTGGGGTCATCTTTTATAGAAACATCTAAAATCATCTTTCTAGTAATTGCCCTTATAGTGCCGGCATTATGTCTTATTTTTATGCTTTCCCAGAGCAGAACATGGATCTTGAGCTCTCCAGCTCACAGATTTCTTTCCTCACCACTATCTAACTGACCATGAGTCACTACAACAGATTTTAATTTGGCTTATGATAGCTCACCCTCCTTAGTAACAAATTCCAGATTTTTTAGGGGAGGCTGCACTTCTTTAACAAAGACTACATAATGGCTCACAAAACTTTCTTTCCTTCTGGTCAAACAGTGCAGAGTAGAGAATCTAGGGTGGATGTTTCAGATTGAGGCAGGGGAAGGAAAGCTCTCCTCTTTGTTGCAGTCTTTAATTAAGCGCTCAGACTTTTACATATGGCTTCCAAGGTCATTATGGTCACTGCCATTAATGTTCCTGACAGTGATGAGGCAGAAAGAGCACGGAGGAGAGTCTGGGAATTTTATTGACCAGCCCTGGAAGTGGCATTGTCCATTTCTGCTCACCTGCCATTTTAGAGAATCAGTCACATTGACTATACCTAAACACGGAAGAGCAAGAGAAGAGATTCTGATGACAAGCTGACTGTGGACTGTAAAGACTAAGTAGTTTTTTTGTCTCTTTTTCTTTTCAGCTATGAAACAAAGGGAAAATCAGATACATCCAGCAACCATGCAGTGCTGAAGCTTGCCAAAGGAGATGAGGTTTGGCTGAGAATGGGCAATGGTGCCCTTCATGGGGACCACCAGCGATTCTCTACCTTTGCAGGCTTCCTGCTCTTTGAAACAAAGTAAACAGATGAATAGAACACCCCCATTTTGGAGAAGACTTGTAGCTGAGTTGGTATTGTTATGAGACTTATGTTGAGGGCTCTACAGTCTGTATTTACAAAAATGATTACTAGCTCACTGCTAATCATGCTACAAGTCAATAATGTTGGATTACTCAGGGGCTCAGATAAATATATCACAGTATTATCTTCCCAGTTGGTCCTCACAAATATACTTAGTACCTTCTTCACTCTTCCCTAGGTAGCTAAACTAGAGCTGTTCTTTGATGCAGGTTAGAATTCTTCCCATCAGAGAAATCACTGAAGGACTGTTGGTATTATTTATAGTGTCTGCTTTGAGGAGCCCCTGAAATTCTGAGTTTATTATTCTATATAATATTGCAGAGAATAGGATGCAATGATCATGTTGGAGCAGGAGCAATGTGGGTGCTTACAAGCCCTCGGCACTAGAAACATGTATAGCCTGGACTGGAAAGTAACGATTTGATCCAGTGGGTCAATATTCACAAAATAAAGTGTAGTTGATTTTTAAAAAGTAATTCCAGATAACTTTCAGATAGCAAAAGTATTTACAATGTCTATAAATAATTGGCTTTTTGTAAAGATGCTTTTGTAATTAATTCTTGACTTCTAAAGGCTTCTACTTTTAGAAACAGATTCTTCTCATGACATAGAATTGGGCTTATTAGAATTGGCTTATCAGATTGATTCTTTTTTGGAATTACATTCCTTGAATTACCAGTTAAAGTAAACTTAGGTCAATATAAGACAAATGTTAGCACATTCTTTTCTATTAATTTGGAAATTACCTCACCATATTTATGTTTTATACATACTATGTCACATTGAAAGGGCTGGCAATTTCACTGTATACTGTCAACACTAATATATAATAAATAAAACTAATAAATAAAAACTATATAAAACATATGAACATTCCATTTGAAAGATACACAAGAAAATATTTTTACACTTTACTTAATAAAGAATGATATTGTTGTGGGATTCTTGCACAGAGATGGGACACCAAGGCTCTCTCTAGGAAGTAACTTTATTTGTAACAGCATGGACCTAGTGGATTTGCATATAAAGATTAAGTGGATTTGCATCTAAAGATTAAGCACTCAGCATTGTGGGTTCTTGCCCTTTATGCAAGAATCATAAAGGGTCTCTGTCTCCTTTATATGGTAACACACTAAAAAACTACAGCTAGATGGGGTACAATCTATGTCACAGAGCCTTGTTACAACTACAAGTTGACTAATAGGAACAATTACGCCATGTTGACTTTCTTTTTTTTTTTTTTTTTTTTTTTTTGTCTTTTTTGAGACTGAGTCAGGCTGGCCTTGAGCTCACTTTGTAGCCCAGGCTGGTCTCGAACTCCAAGGATCCTCCCACCTCAGCCTCCCGAGTGCTGGGATTACAGGCATGAGCCACCACATCCGGCTCCATGTTGACTTTCTTTACTCTAACAAGGTCCATATTCCTTTAGGGAAAGGTCCTGCCACATGCTTTAGGGGTGGTCCCTAATATGATTTCCTTGATTACCATATTTCAGTGATGTTCTCAGAGCAGTTTTGATATACTAGGCGTTTTGGGAGATTCCATTTGGCTTTTGCCTAACTTGCATATCAAAATCTATTTTCAATGGATTAAACTTGCCACCAAAACAATATTTATAAGAATGGGTCATAAATTCTGAAGACAGAATCCATAGTACTTAAAAGTTTGTTTTAAAACAGGAAAGTATCATTGGAATGTATATTTACTCTACTATTGAATCATATTTAAAATGCACTAGTGAGATGTCTACTTGAAGAAATACTATGCAATGATTTACCTTTGAAGCAATGAGCCCTTATTTCATTTTCTATTAGAACTTGAACTTCCACATAGGCCTTTGAACTATGGATTTCCCTGTATGAATCAGCCTACAGCTAGTGGTTGAAGACTTAAGTAGGACTCCTTTATTAGCTAATTCACTACTTTCAATGCTCAGTTTTGCTTTCGACCCTTCCCTTTTGATTCAAAATTTGTTTCAACCCTTCCTGAATTCAGGCGTAATACTCTTTTAAACTGAATGGATATTAGCTAGAATGTGTTTAATCATAAATATTTTGTGATTCTGTATATACTTCTTTCCACCAGCGTTGTGAGGTCATGAGGTTGATGTTTCCTATGTCAGATGTCTTAATATTTCATAGAAGTGCATTGCCAATGCCACAAAGTATTTGAATGTTGCATGTTGACCAAAGAGATTTCATACCTGAAAGGGGTATACTACCTAATAAATGCCTAAAGACTTTTGACTGGCTTTAAATAAAACTGTAGCAAGAAACAATGCATTGAATATATACATATATAAAATAAACTCATGATTGCTAAATGTGTCCCTCCTTAATGTTCTTAATAAAGTATAACAGTCATACAGTCGTAAGTAATATGGTTTAAACAAAGCACAGTATTTTCATGCAAACCATGTGAACAGCCATGTGAATCAGTGATGTGAGCACAAAGTACGGTCACCTGTTTTCCCAAAACTCTAAATTCTAGTTTTTATTTTAGTAGGGACACCCAAGATGTGGTTGTAGGCAGGTGGAAAGCTTCGTAGACTTGCAAATAAGTCCCAGTTTAAAAAAAAAAGTGATTCACAGGAAAGAATGGAGAGGGCCAAGGTAACTCTCAGTGTTTTCAGTTTTATCCATGACCATAATTACACAGTTTTCCCTCCTTATCTATTTTGTGTTTTTGTGGCTTCAGTTATCCATAGTCAACCCAGGTTCAAAAACATTAAATGGAAAGTTTCAGATATAAATAACATAAATTTTGAGCTGTGTGTTATTCTGAATAGCATGATGAAATTTTGTGCTGAGCAGATTATCCTTTTGTCCACAGTAACCAAAACTGTGCGTGCAGTATTATCTTATTCGTCACTTACTAGATATCTGAAACTGACTGCTGCCTTACAGTAGTGCTGTGTGCAAGCACTGTTGCACTTAATAATGGCCCCAAACTATAAAAGTAGTGATGCTATAATCTGGAGATGCCAAAGAGAAGCCATAAAGTACTTCCTTTAAGTGAAAAGGTGAAAGGTTTCAACTTAGGGAAAAAATCATATGCTGAGGTCACTAAGAGCTACAGTAATAACAGATCTTCTATCTGTGGAATTATGAAGAAAAATAAATTCTTAGTTTTACTGCTACTCCTCAAACTGCAAAAATTACAGCCATAGTGAAGTAATGTCTAATTAAGATGGAAAAGACAGTGAATTTGTCCACGTGTGTGTAGAAAAAAGCCATAGGATATATGTGGTATCTTCCTATGATTTGATCCAACATAGTAAGAGTACAATGCACCATTTGAGATACCGAGGAATTTTATTGAGCATATAGTGAAAAAAGTTGAAGTTAAAATAAAATTAAAATGAATTCAAATAGGATGAATACGAAAATGGAATTACAAGATATGTGGCTAGAATTGATAAACGTGCTTAGTGAAAGATACTGTAGAACTCCAAGAACTACTGCTGTATTTAGAATAGAATTCACACCTTTTCTGAGTTTTTTCAATAGTGACTAATAGATTAAGGTGGGCAAGGGAGCGAGTAATGTGAAATAGAATACTTTAACAGGCAAGAAGGGCAGAAGGCCAGGCCTCCCAGGACAACATCCAGCTGACAGCATGAAAGAAGCTTGTGGAAATATTGTATCTAGGGACAATATTTTGTTTTGTTACACTTGCTGTGTCAGTTTTATAACTACCATGTTCTTTAATAACTTTAAAAAAAATAACTATAAAATGTAGTATAAAATTAGCTCACCAAATTTAAAATCAGCATTTTGAATAAGGTCTTTTTTGCACATATTTAAGCTTTTAAAAAAATAGTAATCAAATTAGCCATTTTATATGTGCTTTTCCTATATCTTGTATCTTGTTTATGTGTTAAAAGTACTCTCAAGTATTATTTCGGACTACTTGAAAACATAATTTTAATGGCTGCATCAGTTGTTTACTCTTTTATTTAGCATCATTTTTCTTTTGAGGGTTTTTAAAAAATTACAAATAATGTGTTATGACCAATGTTTGTTGCAAAATAAATTGTGTCTATGTAATCTACTTTGATTAAATTCCTAGTAGAATTACTTGATCAAAAGGTCTAGGTATGTTTAATGCTATTAATAATGTCAAAAATTTAGTTTTGTAAAAAAGTCTTTATCAGAAGGGATTATTGCCTTATGGGTAGGGAACAGTTATACTAGAGAGAGATTAGTATCTCAGAAGTCAGGCAGATATGGACTTTCCATTATGGAGATACAGAAACAAGACAGCAAAGAATCCAGTGTGAGGAAACGGGATGAGTGGGTTGCAGATATGAATGGGAAGAGTAAACCACAGAGTGTTTTCCCTTGAGATCAGCCTAATTTGTTGAGGGGCCATTAAAGAGAGCTTGTTCAGTGTCTCAGTGCTCTAAGTGAGGTAGAATTTAGGGTTATGGGGAAAGGAAAAAGGCCATGTGGGTTTTAGTCCAGTTGAGGCAATTGAGATTGAATCATTCAAGAAATAGCTACTTGTAGTTAAGTTTAAAGTAGACTTTGGCCTAATTTTAAATGAACAACTGTTTGATGTCACAGTAGCATTGTGAGTAGGAAGAAAGACCCTTCCATAATGGTGTGGGTGAATTATCTTGGGCAGGTTTCTTAATATCTGTCTTTACTTTCCTCATTGGTAAAACAAAGTTGAGTGTTATTCCTCAAAGGATTATTATTAGTTACTCTATCTACTATCTCTTAACACATAACAATCATGATTAGCAGCTCAAAATAATGTAATGAAATTCATTATTTCATGATGTTCACAGTTAAAAGAGTCTAGGCATGGCTTAGCTGCTTCAGTGTATCTCACTGTACTGCCCTAAAGACATTGGCCATGGCTGGGTATCTCAAGGCTCAGCTCATTGAGCAAAACCCTGGTTTGTGAACATAAGATGTTCTCAGAACAAACTTGTAACCCAAAGCACTTGTATATCAAAGCATATTTCCCTGTAAGAAATAATGGAAGCTCAGAGACTTTGTTCCACAACCCAAAAGCATTCACATAACAATGATTACAATATTGTAATATAACACATAATAGTAAGATAGTACAAAATATAAAGAAAAGTAAATTAACCTACATTTACTTTCAAAAACTTTTGTGGGTGGTGTGAGGGAGACAAGAGAGGAAAGTTACTGTGCAAAATGATTTTCACTATTACTAATGGAATCACTGCTATCTATTGGCTCAATGGAATTTTTTCTCATGCAACTTTAACAAGGAACTATCTGATAAAACTTGCTTTTACCATCTTTTGAGCATTTTGTGGAAATGTGACATCACACTGCCATTAAACAGACTCATTACAACCTTAATCGGGTGGAATTTTTCTACAAAATTTTGGACTGCTTCCCACATTTTACACATCAAAATTATGATCCACCCATTCAAACTCATTTTACTTTAATGACCTCTTTAAAAACCTTAGGTCTAAGTACAGTCACACTTTCACATCCTGAAAGTTAGAATTTGAACTTATAAGGGTTTGTTTTTGATCCAGAAAATATCTCAAAAGTCATGTGAGATTTCTTAGGCCTTTTGCTTTGCTGAGGCTTCAATGACTTGCATATCTAAAACGGTTAGTGAAGCATGAAACTTAGTGAAGTAAGATCGCTGAATTACGTGAATCTGATCCTGCATTTCAAGGTATCTCTCTTATGTTGGATTTGCAAAAAATTACACAAAGAAAATATGATGAAATATTAATGTCTCAATCTGGATGTTTGCTTTATTATTTTGCAACTTTTTTCAATTTTCTCAAAATACAAAAAAATGAGGAGATAAACTTTATGCTTCCACAAAGGTAAGCTTCTGAGAAATAGGCAGGTAGACAGGCATTCAGAGATGCAGAGATAATCCTTACCTTCAGTGGAAGGCAGCTCCTCATAGGGACAGCCAAAAAGACCTTGAAAGGTAAACAAACTCATCAAGAGTAGCTCAACCTTGCCTGAAAGATTTCTGTTAGAATTGACTTTTGACCATTGCTTTTTAATGTATTTTCTTCAAATATATAAACCAACACTTAAAACTGCAGAGATGTTTTGGCTCTGGCTTCTAGCTCTATTCCATGTCCCAGTAAAAATTATGTCAGGCCACCTGCCCATAGCCCATACTAGGTACAGGGAAAATGATTTCTAAACGTAGTGGGGCTATTTGTATTTTATTACACATATTTTAAGATCGACATTAAAGTTAAACATTTAAAAGTCTATTCAAAGAAACGCGAGGTGCCAAACCAAAAAACTTTTAAAGCTTTCTCATTTAGCCCTTGATGAGCAGTAATTTGTTTCCCTAGTGCTTTTAGGAGTGGCCTCAGTCCCATTTGGGATGAAATCATCTGACAGCTAAATTGTAGGAATGAAGAGGGACAACCTGTAGCCTAAGGAGGTAAACAATCTGACACTGTTCTTACCTAGTTAGGAATTTTTGTTTCTCCCGGACTGGACTCACATTAAGGGCTCCTATAGGACAGTGACAGCAGTGACCTGGAAGCCAGCACTGGGGGGGGGAGGGGGGGGACCCTGAACTGGAGACCCCAGCAGGTGGCGCCGCTGGACATGCGCACAGATGCCTCGCCCCACGCAGGCGCAGAGGGGCGTGCCCGCGCCGCGCTGTGGGCGGAATACGGGGCCCCGGAGGGTTCCCGGCAGGTTATATCTGGGCACCGGCCTGACCGGATTGCGCGTTTTTCTAATAGGGCCGAGGGAATGATGGCGCTACGGGACATCAACGTCTTGGAGCTGGCCGGCCTGGCCCCGGCCCCGTTCTGCGGGATGATCCTAGCCGACTTCGGGGCGAAAGTGGTGCGCGTGGACCGCCCTGGAGCCTCCGGCTACTTAAGCCACTTGGACCGGGGCAAGCGCTCGCTGGCGCTAGACCTGAAGCGGCCTCGGGGCGCGGCCACGCTGCGACGCTTATGCGCACGCGCAGACGTGCTGCTGGAGCCCTTCCGCAGCGGTGAGCCCTGCACCCGCGCTCCTGCGGGGAAGCTTCCGCCCCGTTAGCCGGCTTGCTCTGGGGGGAATGCGCCTTACCGGCGACCCTGGTCAACCTCCTCCTTTCTAGGTCATTTCACGTTTCTCATTGTTTATTGCCCATATGGCCTGTAGACCATCTGCTGAAACGAACTTTTAAAATAACCTCTATTGCCCTATTTCTCATTTTACTTTTTTTACTCCTTCCCAAGTTCTTTATTTTTTATTCTTACTAAGCACCCTTCTATATCTGCCTGTCTTGACTTGAAGATCTCAAGAAAGCCGTAGGTTCTTTTCCCTGAAATAATGCGTATAGGTACAAGGTCATTTAGGTGCTCTTTGGGAAGTGGTGTGCATCTCAAGCCATCCAAGGATTAAGCTAGCGCTTCCTGCCTTAGATGCAGGCATTCTTGAATCCCAGGTTCAGCTTGTGTTTATTTTGTTTTCTCCTCCCTGGAGCCCCCATTTTAGATCTTCACTGTTTTCACCTTTTATAGATAAAAGCTGCCCAGTTCTGTAACGCACACTCGGAATCTCAGAATGCTGGCTTAAGTGTCTTAGGCTTCTATGGCTACCCCAGCTGCCATAAATTCCAAACTGAATCTTTCCCATTTCCTTTTAAACTGGTATTTCGTTCTTCTGGGTAATTTACCAGCGAATGGAACCAGTATCCAGGTGCCAGAATCAGAATCTTGGACTTTGTCCTTCCTTTCGTCTTGTCTGTTTTCATTGGTCTCAATTTTTTTCTTCCTAAGACTTGGAATTCTTTCTGTCTGCACCTGGTGCAAGAGTCTGCACTGGTGTGAAAGCCTTTAAGAAACTGAGTTTAGTCTATTTCCAGACACCTGCCAGAGTAATCTTAGTAAAGTACATGCCCAGAGCATTCCAAATGGAAAATGTCTACAGGGCACCAAGCCCCACCTATTACTAAGTTTCTGTCCCCTCCCGATAATACCTCAAATTATGAATCCATGAATGGACAATCCACTGGTGAAGTTAGAGACCTCACGTCAAATATATGAGCATTTTGAGAGGTATTTTTATATCCAAACCATTCTAGGCATAAATTCAGGAAGTCACCTCCTTTATAACTTCCCAGGTTTAATTATTTATTTTTGGTTAGGACCTGACAAAAGTGATTCTGACAACTTTTACAAAGTCTATACCCAATGTTGCTGTTTGTGCTATGTACTTCTAAGAGTACTGTCTTCAGCTTCCCTCACAGAAGAAATTGACCCCACACTCAAATCATTCTGTAAACATTAAAAAAAAAAATTTTTGCTCTTAAGGTGTCATGGAGAAACTTCAGCTTGGTCCAGACCTTCTGCTGCAGGAGAACCCAAGGCTCATCTATGCCAGGTTGAGTGGATTTGGCCAGTCAGGAAGCTTCTCCCAGGTAGCTGGCCATGACATCAACTATCTGGCTTTGTCAGGTAGGTTGAAAAATAATTTTTTCTACATTTTTAATCTGTGCCCAGTCAAGATACAGTTACATTGATTAACAAGGATTTTTAAAGGTAAAAGTTAAATATTAGAATCAATAAGAGTATAGTTGTTTAAAATGCATTGGTTTTGATTTTTGGAACAAACATTTTTAAGCTTTTTTTCCCCTCTTCTGAACACATTTGAGGGATAATATATTCTCATTAGTAAGATTTGTTTCCTTACATATGTGGAGTCAATTTTTAGGAAAGCCCCCACAAGGAAGTAAGAGATTTGGCGGAAATGGAGGTGGTCACTCCACATTTGAAAACACTGATATAATTTGAGATTGACACTCCACCATGGAGAATCATTGCCCACACCATTGTGTTAGGATTCTGTGAACATAGAAAAGACCCATGCTTTCCAGATCCTCCTATCCACTGCATCAGAGTTCTTTACTATGAAAACGTATCTTGGAATGGACTTATTCTAGATTTCTAAGAACCGTATGTTCTTGACTAAAGGAATTCTCAGTTTTTTTGTGAGTACATTTTTAAAAGTTGAGGAAAAAAGTAAGCATAAAATTCATTTTAACATCAATTTAAAATTTATTCTTTCTTTTCTTATATATAATTATATTCTGATATCTATTCCTAACCAGATACGTGATGCATTTTTAAAATAAATCGATGATAATAATTTTCCCTCAAGCCCAGCAAGTGAAAACTTAATAATAAAATTTTAAAATATCAATTAGGATAAGGTTTGAGTGGCAGCCCTAACAAAACACAGGGCCTATGTTTCAGGAAGCTGAATGAGTTAAGATCTGAAAAAACACCATGTACTAGTTTTACTCAGGTATGTGGCTACAGAATATTTATTCCTCTTAAGATGTTCATATATATTTATTTAAAGGAGACATTAGCTTTGTTTTTAATGCTGTAGGTGTCCTGTCACAAATTGGCAGAAGTGGTGAGAATCCACATGCTCCGCTGAATCTCCTGGCTGACTTTGGTGGTGGCGGCCTCATGTGCGCTTTGGGCATTCTGGTGGCTTTGATGGAACGCACACGCTCTGGCAAAGGTCAAGTCATTGATGCAAGCATGGTGAGAATGAATAGCGGGGAATGTTTAACCTGTCACTTGTTTCTAAGTGTGACATATAACTACCTCAGATCTTTTTCTGAATGAGATAAATGAAACTTAGTGTTTGATCCAAATAACCAAGGTTATCTTTTGCTAGAAAATAGCCTCATGTCCTTTATGTGTGTCAGAATGTCATAGCTTAATCATCTGTGGAGTCAGTTCGCCTATGTCTTTGTGACTCATCGGAATCTTATGTTGTATTTCAGCAATTTTCCCCAAGTTGTCTTTTGTGCTTTAAATAAATTTCCAAGCAGTCATCATTTAAAACTGAATTTAACAAATGTTCCTCAGCAGTTGGAGCATATTCTTATGGATGCTAAGTAGAATGGGCCTCCCAGTTTACACCCTCCAGTTGCAGTTAGGAGGAGATGCTCCGATGTAATGCTGTTGTTCCTGGTCACTCTCAAATCTGTCCCTCATTTACTGCTGGGCACTTTTCCTGTATGATTTCTTCTAATCCTCAGAAACACTTTAATTTCAAATACTGTCCATCCCTCTTACCTGTGGGGGATAGGTTCTTAAACTCCCAATGGTTCCTAAAACTGCAGCTAATACCAAACCTCATATATGCCATACTTTTTTATATACATAAATTTGTGCCTGAGATGAAGTTTAGCTTATAAATTAAGCATAGAGATTAACAAAATGAATAATAAGTAGAACAATTATAATGATATATTTGTAAAGGTTATTTAAAACAGTAATTTTTTTTTTATTTCTGGAATTTTCCAGTTAATTTTATTTATTTATTTATTTATTTATTTATTTGATACCAGGGATCAAACTCATGACCAGGCAGGCACTAATGCCATGGAGCTAAATCCCCAGCCCTTCAGTTAAAATTTTTATTTTTATTTATTTAGTTAGTTTTTTGAGATTTATTTAATTTTCTGAGATGTTGCACTATGTAGTTCAGGCTGCCCTTGAACTTACTTGTATCTCAGGCTATCCTTGAAATAGTGGTGATTCCCTAGCCTCAGCCCTCTGATTGCTGGGGTTACAAGCATACACTACAATGACTGACTAGTTAAAATTTTTAGACTTTAATTGACATTGGTAACTGAAAGCATGGATAAGTATGGTGCTGGGGAGGTGACTGCATAGACATTTGTACAAGGTCTCATGATGCATCTAGTCAGGCACCATCAAGTTTGTATATTTCTTCCATCTTTGGAAGTGAAACGGATAATGGATCCTAGGATTGTAAGATGAGACACAGACACAGTTACTGAGTCATTGCTGAGGGATAAGGAATGGTACTAAAGCATTGATGCTAGAGTTTATCTGAATTTAAATGTTATTTTAGATATAAAATTGCTATGATGGATTGGCAGAGGTGGAGCGGGGAAGGAATCAAGGATGGCTCCTGTGTTTCTGGCTTGGATGACCTGGTAGGTGGCATTGCTGGTGCTCTGGGAGAAGGCTGCTAAAGGACAAGGCAGCATGGAGCACTGGTCAGGAGCACAGACTCAGCTACTAAGTGGAGGTTTATGAATTTGTTTGTGTAAGTACAGAGTGCTGTAATGTTCATACAACAAGTGCAACTAGTGACAACTTTTGGAGACTGCATTCCCATCACTAGATGATACAATAACTGTACTTGGTGATGACAAATATTACAGCTATAAATTGAGGTATGCATGAGATCTCAAGTTATAAGGGAAACTAAAATGTATCCAAAGAAATTATTTTGGGTGCCCTTCAAAGCCATTAGCTGAGAAATTCTGTCATTGGAATGGTTGTTGGTAACATAAGGAGCAAGGATGTGTGCTGGCCTGCTCCCTGGGGAGCTAGAATCATTAGAATTATAAATGTCATGTAAATGGGAAGTTTTCTGCATTAGAGAGTTCAGTGCCTCCAGTGTTTAAGGTTATTCCTTGTTAATTATACTTAAGCAATTGAATCCACTGTTGTTACTTTAGGATTCGGTGGAAAGATGGCATTCTTAAACTAATTTGTTAGACTGAGAAAATCTCTACCCTGTCACCAATAGTGCTGTTTATTTTGTAAGTTTCTGATGATCATTAAAGATAAAATATATTGAATACTCAATTACAGTTTTCTTGGAGTTGACATCAAGCTGGAATCACCTCACTTTAACTATAATGTGATTTGTCTTTATGATATGCTTCATATATCAATGTGTATGTGTCTGTAGGTATTGAAATCAGAAGATGAATAGATTTTTAAGAACCCTTCATTGTATTTTTAACTCTTTATCCTGGAAATTTTTAATATAACCAAGTAGAGAGAATAATATAATGAATTTTCATGTTACCTCACCTAGCTTCAAAAATTCAGTGTTTTGCCAGTCTTATTTGAAAAAGCAAACAAAAGTAGTTTCAAGCATTTCTTGAATTGGATAGTACAGATTATTATCATTCTACCACATATGCTTTCTAGCTCAATTTGTAGAAATCCCCAAAAAGTCATGTAATTAGGTATGGCGTGCATCATAAGATAGGCATTGACTGTTTAAACAAACCTAAGTAAACAGCTTTTATGCTTGAATTACCTAGGTTAATACTGTATTTTGCTTTATTAAAGGTAGAAGGAACAGCCTATCTAAGTTCTTTCATATGGAAGACTCAAAAAATGGGTCTATGGAGCGAACCTCGGGGACAGAACCTGTTAGATGGCGGGGCACCTTTCTACACAACTTACAGGACAGCAGATGGGGAGTTTATGGCTGTTGGAGCAATAGAACCCCAGTTCTACCAAGTGCTGATCAAAGGTAAGTGATGATCACATGCCTCCCACTCCTCTTTTGCTATGGTGTTTTTTAGCATCTCTTTGAGGGTGGGTCTTTCGAATTTTGTGATATCTTGTATTTTAACGAAAATTTATTTATATATTTCTATGTGTAGAACTTTTTTTGTGGTGCTAGAGATTGAACCCAGGGCTTTGCACGTGCCAGGCAAGCACTTTACCACTGAGTTACAATCCCAGCCTATATATCTGACTTTTTAATTAACCTAACAATAGCCATCAATGTATTTTGGGGCATTGTTCCTATCTTTTAAATTAACAGGTAATTTTATTGGTCTATAAAGTAACTCAGAGTTATTCAGTGCTTTTATTCCATGTTTGTTCCATAAGTCAAATATGGTTGGAAAAACTGTAGAGCAACAGAACAAACTGTCTGGATCATATAGGGTGCCTTTCTTCCCAGATGTTAAAACTAAATATAGAAACTTAATTAAAAGTTAGGACTGAATAATACTGTATGAAAGACCAAGTGGTAGGAGCAAGACACCTTGGATACAGAGCCTTGGAAAACAGAGTTTGTACCATAGCCTAACCTTATAAATATATGCATTGTCTATGTAAAATATAAATATAATTGCATAGTTAACTAAAGTTCTGTCAACTATTTATTGACACTTTTCACAGGCAATTCTAAAATCTATTCCTTGAAAAATAAATTCCTTGAAAAATTTTTGAGGTCTGAGTTATAATCATTTGCTTTAATTATATATAAATGTAAGCTTTATTAGCACATTTCCATTACTTATGTTTTAGTAAAAGTTACATGAAAGTTAGTTCCGAGAATTCCCAGTATTTTTCCTGAAAGTTTTAATGGTTTTAACTCTCAAATTTAGGCTCTGATCCATTTTAAATTGATTTCTCTGTGAAAGGTAAGGGTTCAAACTCACTCTTTTGTATAGAGCTTTTCAATTTCCCCACATAATTTGTTGAAAAACAATTCTTTTCTTATTGAATGATCTTGGCATCTTTCTTAAAAATCAGTTGACCGTAAATGTAAGGGTTTATTTTTGGAGTTTCATTTCCATTTCATTGAATCCGAATGTCCGTCTTTGTGTTAGTGCTGTATTATCTTGATTGCTGTAACTTTGTAGTATGTTTGAAATGGGAAATGTAAACTCCCCAGCTGTGTTTTTTCTCTGTATTCTTTTGGCTATTTATATTCCCTTGAATTTCTATATTATTTTCAAGATTAGATTTTCAATTTCTGCAAAACTCTCAGCTGGGATTTTGAGAGGGTTTTGTTGAATGTGTGCATTCATCTGGGCAACATTGCCACGTAAACAGTGTTAAGCTAACATCATTAGAGATAGACTGCTTGCTCTCTGTCTTTTTAAAACTTCTTTAATTTCTTCCAGTGACTCTTTGTAGTACAAATCCTATTTTCTTGGCTGAATTTCTTCTAAAGAATGGTATTCTTTTGATGTTACTCTTATCTCCCTCTCACATCTTTAGGGGCTTTATCATTTTAAGAGCAATTAATCTACAACCAGATAGGAAAGAAAAGATGGTAAAAGTAAGATCAATTTGATCAATTTTCACAAAATATTATGCATAAAGGAAAGGGACTTACATTACCTTTCTATTCTTAATCATGCACATTATTAGACCATGTTTTATGAAGGAAGAAAAGTGACATTTACACCAAACTCCAGGAAGGTGGCCCTTTGGATACATAGATGTGTTTCTTTGCTTTTGATTGGGTTACATATGTATCAGCCCATTAAGTTGAAAATATCATCAGTAGAAAATGACACACATTACCTACTGTACAACTTAGCCCAGGGTAATTTAACTGTGCTCAGAATACTTACACTAGACTACAGTTGGGCAAAATCATATGACAGTAAGTTTTATAATAAAGCATTAAATATTTCATGTAACTTACTGAATTCTCTACTTAAAGTGAAAAACAAAATACCTAGTTATATAGATGTGCTTTCACGCTGTGGTAAAGTGTAAAAGTCAGCCCTGGCTATCTTATAGGTCCTTTGTTCCTTGTATGAGGATCCCACAAACTCCCATTTTACCTGAGGAGACAGACAAGAAAATTACTTACAAAATTCCAATCTTGAATTTAATCATTAAGGTTTAAGTTTCTTTCTTAAAAAGTGTGATGTCAGTTCTAAACTTGTTGAAGTATTTTTATAGGACTTTCATACATTATATAAAAAGGGGGTCTATTTTAATTCAAAAGACAGATAATATCCTGAAGAATTATTTCAAGAACTACACAGAGAACCAGACCTTAAAAATAGATGACTTTTGATAAGATGTCAGCAATAAACTCTTGGCAGTGAATAGCCTATTTTAAATTCTTTCACCCATGCAGTCTCTCTTTGCTCTAGATGTTAGCTCCAACTTTAAATTACTTTGAATTTTTTCTTTTAACAGGAGAAACCTTATAGGATGTCTTACTTAGCATAATATGGTAGCCTTAAAATTCATTTTCATTGACTATAATCACTCTACTCAGTGACTTAAAAAAGTGTGCTTTTCCCTCAGGACTTGGACTGAAGTCTGATGAACTTCCCAACCAGATGAGCAAGGTTGATTGGCCGGAAATGAAGAAGAAATTTGCAGATATCTTTGCCAAGAAGACCAAGGCAGAGTGGTGCCAGATCTTCGATGGCACAGATGCTTGCGTGACCCCAGTACTGACTTTGGAAGAGGCTGCACATCAGAATCACAACAGAGAACGGGGTTCATTTATCACTGATGAGGAGCAGTGTATGAGTCCTCGCCCTGCACCTCTGCTGCTGCGCACTCCAGCCATCCCTTCTACCAAGAGGGATCCATTCATAGGGGAGCACACTAAAGAGATACTGAAAGAATTTGGGTTTAACCAGAAAGAGATCGATGAGCTCCACTCAGAGGGAGTCATTCAAAGTGCAAACTCAAAATCTCACCTCTAATTTCCAGGCTCACAGCTCAAGTGAGTTTGGATCTTTTCCACAGTGGAGAATAATTCAGAACAATAGATACAGGAAAATGTGAAAGAACAGAAATGCTCAGCTATCCTAATCATGAAACAGCTAAAGACTGATTGCACTGCAATTATCTTCTGAAAATGATTGTCATCAGCACGTTGGGTCAAGGGATTTTTGGTGAACCTATTTTAGCTTATGACAGTATTTTTTGTCTTTCAGTTTACTTGATAAAATGTATTTGCTGATATTAAAATGCTTTACACCTATACTACATTTTAAGGGAAGTTTATATTAAATATCCTGTGCTTTTAAATTTATAAAAATTTTTAGGAAAAGTGTTTTCATTTAAATGACATTTTCTGATATAGTGAAATGTTTTTGGCTGCATCATTCACCAAAATAAATGTCCTTAGAAAAAAGTCTGCACCTTTTTTATTAGTGCATATTAGTTATATAGATAAATGACAATTAATTTTGTTTTTGTACATGCATATAAGATACATGGATTATTTTCATCTGTCCTGACCCCATCTCCCCCTTTTCTCTTCCATTCTCACTTCCTTTCCTTCCTCTTCTGTAATTAGCCCCCCTTCTGCTTCCGTAATATCTCCATTACTCTTTTGTTTAGATTCTACATATGAGAAAAAGTGTGAGATATTTGTTTTGCCTTTGTAAATCAGGCTTATTTTACCTAACATGATGACATGAACTTCCAAACCAGAGGAGCAAGACGCAATTTAGCAAATAATATGATTTTGCTCTTGTTAATGGCTGAGTATTCCAGTAGATACATATTCCATATTCCATTATATATTTCATATATAGATAGATAAATAGATACATATATACATCAAATCACATTTTTTTAAACTCATTTATTGGTTTATGGTCACCTAAGCTGATTTCATAGTTTAACTTTTTGTGAGTTGGGCAGCAATAAACATGGATATCCAGCTACCTCTGTAGTATGTCAGTGAAACTTTCCAAGCATATATTGAGAAGTGATACAGCTGCATCACGTGGTGTCTCTTTAATTTTTTTGAAAAACTGTCGTGGAATTCCACTGTGAGTGTCCTAATTTTCACTGTTACCAACAGTGTAGAAAGGTTCCTTTTCCAGTGTGTCCTTGCCTGCATTTACTGTTTTTCATATCCTTAGCCATTTAATTAGCATTTCTCTAAAGGAGTTGAACAGTTTCATGTATGTACTGGCCATTTGCACATCTTTGAGAAATAGCAATTTATTTGCCCACTGATTGACTGGGGTACTTTTGTTTTTGTTTTTTGAGTTCTTAATATATTCTAGATCTCAATCCTCTGTCAAAAAATGCCTAGCAAAGATTTTCTTCCATCCTGTAGAATGTCTCTTTACTCAGTTGTTTCCTTTTGAAAGAAGCTTTTTAATTTTATGTCTGATTTATTGATTCCTGCTTTTATATACTAGGTAGTAAAGTCCTTTTCAAGTGTCTTTGCCTGTGACTGTGAGTTGAAATGATTTTCCTGTGATTTCTTTGAGCAGTTTCAAAGATTCAGTTATACTCATCATTAATACATTTTGATAGCAATCTAGGGTAGAGATAATGTAGTTTTCGTCTTATGAGTAGGTCTTAGTTACTTTTTACTTGTCGCTGAGACAAAATACCTGATGCCCAAAATTAGGGAAGGAAGAGTTTATTTTCTTACAGTTGTTGGAGGTTTCAGTCAATACTCAGTTGACTCCAAGGTAGCATGGCATAGTGGGCAGCCATTCACAGTGACTGCAAACAGCAAGGCACAAAGCAGCACCTTCTTCCTGCTATTACATCATATCCTGGCTCCACCCCTAGGCGGGTGTAGCACTCACACCACCAATCTGGACTCTAGACAACGAACCAATCACAAATGCTAGATTTGGTTGCTTTCATGATGAGGCTTGAAGGCTCTGACATCTATCCATGACAGGATAGATACCCAGTTTACCCAGCACCATTTGTTAAAGAGACTATCTTTTCTCTAATGTTTTTGTTGCCCTTGTCAAGAATTAGACAGTTATAGTCATGGAAGTTTTTTCCTTTGTCTTCTACTCTATCCCCCTGGTCTGTGTCTGTTTTTCTGTCAGTACTATTGTTTTTATGGTTGTGTCATGTATTTTGAAATCAGGTATTTGATACCTCTAGTATTTCCCTTTTTGTTCACGATTTTCTTTGTTTTTCGGGTCTTTTGTGCTTCCAGATGAATTTTAGCTTTCTTTTCTACTTATATAAAGAATGTCATTGGAATTATGATAGGGATTGCTTTTGGCGATTTATCAATAATGGATCAATATTAAGTCCATTGATCCATGAACACAAGAGTTCTCTCAATCTTCTGTTGTGTTTTCAATTCCTTTCTTCACTGTTACGTAATTTTATTGTTGAAAATAATACCTTCTTCATTAGGCTCATTCTTAGGTATTTTTTAAGCTATTGTGAATGGAACTGTTTTGCCGATCACTCTCTACTAATTCAGTATTAAGTGTATTAAAAATCTGCTGATTCATTATGTTGATTTTATATTTAGCCACTTTGTTGAATCTGTATGGGATCTAACATCTTCTGGTAGAGTCTTTAGGATCTTTGGCATATAACATCATATGATGGGCAAATAAGGATAATATGATTTCCTTGTTTCCTATTTGTATCTCCTTTATTTCTTGCATGTGCCTAATTGCCCTGGATACAATTTCAAGGATTTTACTGAATAACAATGGTTAGAACAGACATTCTTTTCTCATTCCTGATTGTAGAGGAAATATTTTCAGTTTTTCCCCACTCAATATATTGTTAACTATGGTTTGTGTAATGTAACCTCTTATGTACTGAAGTTAGATTCTATACCTAATTCTTCAGAACTTTTTGATTATTTTTTGACACCCAAATCTGAAACAGTGCAAGAGAAATAAGAAGTAGACAAAGTATGAAGAGGTCTTTAATTAGGGTCCCCGGGAACGCTGCGGAAGAATGCAAAAACTCACTAGACAAAGGGTTGAGACATAGATTTCTCTTGGCAGGCGGTTTGGTTAGTTGACATTGATGGATTAGTGCTATGTATTAGTGCAGGTTAGGGATTGGGAAATCTTTGATGTGCATGGGAAGGAAGGACAGGAAATCTGGCTTGGATCAAGAAGTCTGATAAGGTATTTTTTTGTGGTTTCTTCACCATTTGACCCCGCCATGATGACTAGGCAGAATCATGTGGGGAAAAACCTATTTTATTATAAAGTAAGCATTGAGATGATCACATGATTTTTAAGGGCTGCTTCTACTTACGTGCTTCATTACATCGTGGATTTGTTTATACTGAGTTATCCTTGCATCCCTGAAATAAAACCAACTTGATTGTGGTATATGATCTTTTTAGTGTGCTGTTTAATTTGATTTGCAAGTATTTTATTAAGGATTTTTGAATTTATATTGATCAAGGATATTGGCTGTAGTTTTCTTTTTTGTTGTTGGGTTTTTGTCTGCTTTAGTATCATGATTATATTTGTCTTGTAGAATGGATTTGGAAGCCCTTTTTATTTCATGCAAGAGTTTGAGGAGCATTGATTCTAGTTGTTTTTTAAGGGCCTGGTAAAATTCAGCTGTAAAGCCATCTGGTCCTGGGGTTTTCTTTGTAAGGATTCTTTATCACTTTTTCATTCTCAGTGCTTTTTGATATGTTTAGGTTTTCTCTTCATTTCAATTCTGATATATGATTTGTGTCTAGAGCTTATTCATTTCTTTTAGATTTTACAATTTATTGAAATATAGATTTTGAAAATAGTTCTCAATAATCCTCTCTATTTCAGTGTTGTCTATTGTAACATCCTTTTTCATCTCTAATCCTGTTGATTTGTGTCTTCCTTCTTTATTTTGGTTAGTTTAGGTAAAAGTTTATCAATCTTCTTTGTCTCGGGCAGGAACTTTGTCTCAGCAGTGCAAGTGCTTGCCTAATAAGTGCAAGGTCATGAGTTTGATCCTAGGTATCAAAAAAAAATCTTGTCTTTTCAAAGAACTAGCTCTTTGACTTATTTGACCTTTGCTTTGTGTTTTCAGTCTGTATTTCATTGATTTCAACTCTAATATTAATTATTTCCTTCTATTGGGTTTGGTTTTACTTTTTTTAAGACCTTGAGATATATCATTGGATTATTTATTGATGTTCTTGAGTTTTGATATGTGCACTAACAGCTATAAATTTCCCTCTTAGAACCACTACTTTACAGATCCTGGTGTATTATGTTTCTCTTTGAGTTTAAATCTTAGGAATTGTTAATAATTTTCCTCTGATGATACTTCAATTACCAACTGGACATATTTGTTTTTTAAATTTTAAAGAGGCTAAAACCCAAGGGAAATAAAAAAATAAAACAATCAAAATCAGCCAGAATAAGTGATACAGGACTTCTAAACTTTATGAGATCACAATGCCTTTGTTGTTTACAAAATAGCTGCAGAAACATCATATTAAACATATTAAACATCAAACATATTAAAAATCAAACAGAATAGAGAATAGAAACAATAAAAACAGAACAATGAATGTAATAAAGGACATGAAAAAAGCCAGTAGTAAATACATAATGGCTTCCATGACATGTCTTGCTATCTTTCAAATACCTGTTCATGCCATCAGAGTTAACATAAACAAAATAGAAGAAAGTAAAAACCCAACCCAACAAAACAATGAAAATGTTATGGTTTCCCAGCAAAGATCTCAACTCTGTAAGGACTAGTTCTCTCCCTCCAAGGTTTGTGAATGGCGCTGATTTTACAGAGAGATTTGGGTCTAGCTCTCTCCTACCCAGCAAAGGACCATGCATAGTCCTGGGTAGGTTCCTAACTGAACATCTAAAAGTGAATTATTCAAACTTACTTTGTTTTCTCTTGCTATTGATTTCTAGCTTCATTCTGTTCTAATCTGATGAGCTTCAAGAAATCACTTTTTAAAACATTCATTAAAATTTGCTTTGTGGAGAACATTCTTTGAGCTAATGAAAAGAATGTATATTCTGTAGTTGTTATATGAAATATTCAATAGATATCTGCTAAGTGCATTTGATTGACTTTAACCCTGATGTTTCTGAATTTTTGGGGGGGATGTGGATAACCTTATCACAGAGAGTGGAGTACTGAAGTCATCCTCTGTCATGGCTGAGAGAGCTCTGTTAAGTTTTCAGGGGGAAAGAACAACAAGAGAATGACGAAAATAAGGACAGAGACAGCTGGGGGCAGGTACAGCCCTTCCTCCAGGGGAAGGAAGAGACTGTTCTGTCACCACAATGTGTTTATTTATACATTTGTCATGTGATGCCCCTTTGCTTA